GGTCCAAGATCGAACGCAGTACGGGAACTTCTCGCTCAAATTCTTGATCCATCCCAACAAATCTGGGACCACCTCCGAATGCCAAGTAGCGGTTGCAGAAAGCACAAGGAGGTTATAAAGACGAACGAAAGAGTAGTCGAAAAGTGGTTAAAGGGAAAATTTCTTACGTCGAGCGTTCCACCATTCCGAAAAGGGCATTCTTCGGGCCGAGATGATGTCCAAGGTCCTCACTCGGATAAACCTGCTCATCCATCCTCGGTATTTCCCCTCATCAACGCTCATGAAAAAAGATTTTTTGGACCGGTGGTGGATCTTGATTAAGCCTCAATACAGCCGAGGGCAGTACAGTCTGATCAGATGGTTAAGGGTAAAAACCTCACCTCCAAATCCTTTGGTGAAATGTCTAAGCATTAACACTATCCTCCAAAAGGATGGATAGATCTGACCAAGTGTCACCTGGTATCGGGCACAGAAGTCAAGAATAACCAGGTCAATTTCCAAGGGAGGAGATTCGACGGATTTATCAGGGCCAGGGTGAATGGGTAAGTGTATATATAAAGGAAGTCGGCCTTGAAGTCGATAATGTTATCGCTGGGGCCGGGAATCTCTACCTCCACTACCTTGCTCCATCGGTAGTCCTCCTTCACCTTGTTAAGATTGGTCCCAATGCTAATATATCGAGACACGTGCTCACACCGACCTAGCGTAGACGAGGGAGTTTCGATGTCAAAATCCTTCGACATGTCAATATTGGGTGGGGTACATTGTTCTAAAGAGGGAACCAATCTATTTTCTCCCTTAGGTAATCGGGACGACGATGCAGTGTCGTTCCATTGGGGAACCATCCTGGAAGTCCTAGCCATGTAAAATGGTAAAAACACTTCTATGAGAAGAGGAAAAGGTGTCAAATAACAAAATTTTGACTTGCAAGCTTGTAAGAAGGGTGAACATGGGAAGTATCTAGCAATCGGTGCATTTATAGGAATCGCTGGGGAAGTAGAAGAGACGAGCCAATGGCAGTTCGTGGGTTTCTCGATTACCGCATCTGACGGCAGCCCTGCACAGTTCTCTAAGGCGTGGCATTGAATGCTCTTAGACGGTTGACGTCATGGCAATAGTGACCTCGAGACGACGCTTCAATATTGTTTCCTATTATTTCATTCTAAGAAATGCGGAGACTATCTGTATGCGGTGAAATCAGGGGGGGGTCTATTTCCCACCGCTAAGGTACATTCGGGAAGTCATGTTAGCATCTCGAGGCAGTATGATTACGATCGAGCTCCCTCCCTTGAGGATCGTCCGCGACCCAGCAGAGATTCCGAGGATAAGGAATCTATCCGCGACCCAACGAAGGTTCCGAAGACGGGGGATTCTTGAGGCAAGCGGCTAGAGCCAATAGACATTAGTACCATGACTAGCCGTCCCATCCCCATGTCTTTACGTTCAATGCACTTTGTACTATATGGTATTCCCTCTACTATATAAAGGGAATCCATGCCACTTTGTAAAGGGCTGATGTTGCTCCATTTTTTCCACAAATGCAATAATATCTCTCTCTATATTCTTTCTAAACTCGCTCTCTCTCACTGGCCCGAGGCCACTTTAATATTTATCGCTTTCTCATTTGTTCTTCATTTTACCACTTGGTATTGGGTATACAGAGCCTTATTAAATCGTATCTTAACTGTTATCCCATTTTTGACTATCCCTGATAGCCCGAGCTCGACCCTGAAGTCGACCCCGAGGCACCCCTTTAACCAGACCTATACCCAGGCTGCATGCCCCTCGGTTCGATTACTATCTCATTTTAACTTGCATTTCATCATTAAACTTCATATTATTAGCATCAACTACTCTAATAACTAGCTCAGGAATAGATCACGTATTTTTAGAATCCCATTTACAAATTTAATTGTTGTTACCATTTTCACGGTAAACAATAGGGCTTTTGTGGGAATGTAATGAAGGCTTTTGGTTCAAGGTAGGATATATTGGTCTATGACGGTTTCATCTTCCCTTAAGCACTTCATTTGCTTCATTTTGACACACATTTTATTGACTCTTTGAGTCATTTACTTCTTATTTAGGGGCTAGAGAGACACACTGTCGCTCTTTCTTGTTTCAATTCTTTTTCTCCTTTCTAACCTTTCCATGCCTTTCATCTTTTGCTTTTATTGAAACCCTTCATTTCCTCTACATTGTTTACTTTCTTTTGATTTTTTGGCTTTTCTTTCTTTTTCTTTTTGCCTTTTCTTTTCTTCATTTTTTACCTTTTATCACTTTTGCATTCCTTGTCTCCCCCCCTAAACTTATGCTTTTGCCTTGTGCTAAGGAAAGATAGGGTGCCAAGAGAGGGTCATTTCAGAATGGATAAAGGTTTACATCATGGTTATTGAAAGAATAAGGACTATAGCTTAAAGGGGTTGACTAGGGATATTATCATTGGTAGTCTATGGATGTTTTCAAGTCTCAATTAGGCTCAAGGAGAGCCTATAATCACTTCTCAAGCCGAGCTTCACTTAAGATTTCGCCTAGACAAACATTCAGGGCAAGTTCTAGACTCATTGGCACAGGACTTGGACTTGTAAATCAATACCTTACCACGCAGGATATAGGATTGCTAAAGAAATAGAGTCAGGGGCCCACAATAACTTTAGCTAAGATTTGAGCAATATAAATGGCTCCGAGAAACTACTCAATGATTGTTTAGCCAACACAAGAGTTTCAAGGTCACAACTATCACCATCCTATACACAACAATTTATTTTTAACCATAAGGTCAAAGGTAAATGTGTTAGACCCAAGTGAAGCATTGCCTGAGGCACCATTGCTTACTAATTACTATTTACACAAAAAATAAAAAGAAAAATAGACTCAAACCCTTAAGGAGGTTGTCATATCATCCATCATCGAGAAGAGCCACCCGGTTCACACAAACACCACCTTTGGAAAGAACTGTGACATTAAGAAAACCAAAAGCTTATTTATCGTTGAAACTTGAAAAATAAGAAGCTACAAACCGAAAAAAAGGCTATTAAATGAAATAAGAAGCTATACTATTAAAGAAATTGCAAAAGAAGCTATGAAGTAAAATGCGAAAAGCAAACTGAATATGTACAAAAAGGGGGATTTAGATGAATATATATATGACAAAATGAATATATACATGAGAGTAGCTTTATATACAGACCAAACTAGAACAATAACGAAAAGTAAAATAAAAGGTAAATTTATATACATACCAAAAGTGAAAAATAAGCATAAAGAAAGAAAATAGTGTCATAATTACAATCCAACTACCAAATCAAAAATCAATGTAGGGCCACCCCCTCACATGAAAGCTAGCATTGTCCTCAATGCTAACTAACCAAAAATAAGCTCAAAAAGAAAGATAGTAAGTGAAAACAACTCCCTATGGATCCTCCGTCTGCATGGGGTCCTGTGGTAGAACGAGATCCTGTGGCTGAGCACCTGGTTCATCTATCCTGGGGGCCTGTGGCTGGCCAGAAGTTGCACCCTCCGTCTCTGCAAACTCAATCTCAACATCATCTACCTAGGGGATCATCCTCCTCCTCTTTGGAGCTCTCTCAATCTCCTGCTCCGGAACCTGCTCTATCTGAGTTGCTTGAGGTTGATCAGGCAATAGTAGCTCCAAAGGCAAATGGTCAGCTGCCTTCATCTTCTCCACTTCTCCCCTCAATTCCTTAACTGACTCCTTCCATGCCCGCGTCTTCTTCAACTTCTTTGTGTATTTGCTCAGCTCCTTAAGTGTTTTCCCTTGATCAGTTAGAGCATCCATTATCAGCTTTTGGTTATCAAGGAGCTTCTTCTGGTTGTCCAAAAGCTCCTTAAGAGTCTCCTCTACTGAAGCTGGCACCTGTGGCTGTGGGGGCACTGACTGAGCTGCCATTGAGCTAGAGAGTACAGACAGCTTAGAAGTTGTTGCCTGCATCCAGTTGTTGATACTGGAGAGTGCTTGGCTCAATCTATGGGCAGTCAATGGGTATGCTGAGGAGGATGTAATATCTTGAGGGGTGGAAGTAGATGGTCCGGAGGTAGGCTCTGGTATGTCAGTGGGGGACTGAGAAGAAGTGACTACTACTACTGGCTCTTCAGACTGGCCAGTAGAAGTAGTGGCTTTGCCCTTGAATTCTTTGGCTTTGGGGTTGTCGTCAGCCATGAGGTTGTACTATGAAAAGGGCATCTTGGATTTCACCTTCACATCAAAGTTTCTTTTCTCCACCTCCTGGTCTTCCAAATACATTGTAAGAAAGTTCTGGAAGGGGTATGATCTGTCACCCTCATTGACCACCCTAGTGATCACCCTAGACATGACATTCCCGACATTGATCGGGAACCCCGCCATAATAGCCACCATTAATATCGCCTGGGAGACCGGCATGCAGTTTTCATGGGTAGTGGGGTCCAGCCTACTGCATACAAAAAGTCTCCCACCCTTTCGCCTCAATGTTTAGGGTTTTCCTCATGATTGCAACCCTTGTTGTTAACCATGTTGGGGTGGTGCCCGGGAGAGCCAGATATGATGCCAACCATGGACGGGCTGCCTCATCAAGTGCCAACTTCTCCAAGTACAGTGGTTCATCTTCCTCATTAAAGCCCAGGTATTCATTTATTGTCTTCCCATCAAACATCACTTTCAAGTTCCTCACTTTAGTCACTTTGGTATCCCTCTTGATGTGGGAGGCATTGGCGTAAAACTCTTTGACTAAGTGCTTGTTTGCCTCTGACACCCTGCTGGTGAAGTAATCCCACCTCACTCATTCATTGAATTGTTGTTTCACGTTGGAGTTGTGCGGCAGGAGATCCCTCTCTATGAACTGGCGCTCATGAATAAGCGACCTTAGAGGCCACCATTCCCGGAACTTATGATAAGCCAGCTCACTGACGAATCACTTTTTCCATACCTTGGGGTTTCTAGTTCTTTCCATACCCCCCGGGTTGGGGCACACCCCCTCCCTCTTCATCCGATACCCCAGTATCTATATCATGTCTAGGTGCGAAGGTGTAGGTGAGGTTGAAGCTGAACTATCACTGCTCTCTGCCGAGCCCTCAAACGACTTAGAAGAAACATGAACTGAAGCACGAGCGGTAGGAGAGTATGGAGGTGTGGGTAAATCTCTCAACAGATTCCTCTCCGGGAAGTCGGGTACATACTCTGGCACTGAATTAGACTCAGATGCCTCCCGGGAGGTCAAGTACTCACTTCCCTCAAAATGGGAAGCAACTCTATCTACAACTCTGATGATTTTTCTGGTTTCCCCAATTGCTTTTCGAACTTCTGAGGTTAATTTAATCATGCCTCGTCCCTTACCCCGAGAGGACTCTACTCTACCCTTTTGTTTGTCACCATCTCCTCTAGATTTAACCATTGTCTGCAAGTATAATCAGTTGAAACTTGTTATTGTAAAGACTAGAAGAAGTAGTGCAGAAAAATAGTTGACAGTGCAAGACAAAACAGCATACCACGGACCGCGAAAAATGCACCACGGACTGTGAAGAGGTGGGATTCAGACTACCCACTCTCTGATTCATTAGCACCACGGACCGTGGAAAATAGAGTGTGGCTGCAGTAAGTGCACTGCGGACCGCAAAAAATCAACTATGGACCGCAGTTCCTCAATTGCACCTCTCTGAACTTTATCATCGCGGACTTTGGAAAAACCATCGCAGCCTCGGAGACGCACTGCTGTTAGTGAAAAAATTCCACCGCTGACCGCGGTTATCAAATCTTAGAAATCTCATAAAAGATAAATGACCGCTGACCGCGGAAAAACAATCACGGACCGCGAAGGATAAGATTGGTCTCTTCATACCGGGCCAACATCTTGTCAAGATTCTTCAAACATTCATCAAATGAGCCACCCACAACACTGAAGTCATCCACGGGGAGTTATACACACCAGTCCCTATACACATATCACAACCAATTAGTTCAAAAGCAAATCATACACTAAGAAGAAAATCAAAGAAGAACAAAAAGAAAAAACATACGAGTTGCCTCCCAAGAAGCGCCTGATTTAACATCGCGGCACGACGCAGGTTACCATCAATCACTTGTGATGGATCAATGCCACCACATGGCTGTCATCAAACTTGCCAAGATAGTGCTTGACTCAGTGCCTATTAACTCTGAAGATCTCACCATTTTTGTTTTTCAAATCAAGTGCACCAAACGGAGTCACAAGCACCACCTCAAAAGGTCCACTCCATTTTGAGTTAAGCTTACTCGAAAACAGTCGTAACCGGGAATTCAACAAGAGAACCAAATCATCCACTTTGAACTCCTTGCCACGAGCATACTTGTCATGAAGGTACTTCATCTTGTCCTTATACAAGGACGAACTAGAGTAAGCATGAAACCGGAACTCATCAAGCTCATTAAGCTGCTCCACCCGAAGATTTGCTGCCACATCCCATTCAAGATTTAACTTCCTCAAAGCCTACATAGCCTTTTTCTCTAGCTCAACCGGTAGATGGAAAACTTTCCCAAACATCAACTGGTATAGAGACATACCAATCGGAGTCTTGTAAGCATTCCTATAAGCTCAAAGAGCACCATCTAATTTCTTTGACCAATCGGTCCTATTTGCATTGACCATCTTTGACAATATACTCTTGATCTCCCGATTGGAGACTTCAACCTGCCCACTATCTCGAGGATGGTAAGAGGTAGAAACCTTGTGATTGATACCATACTTTGCAAGGAAAGTGTCAAATGCCTTATTGCAAAAATGAGACCCTCCATCACTAATGATTTCTCTAGGAGTGCCAAATCGAGTAAAGATACTCTTCTTGAGAAAGGCCACAACACTACGGGCCTCATTTTTGGTTAAAGCCATGGCATCAACCCACTTTGAAGCATAATCAACGGCCACAAGAATGTACGTGTTGCCACAAGAGCTTACAAACGGACCCATGAAATCAATGCCCCACATATCATATATGTCAACCTCGAGAATAGTGGTGCGAGGCATCTCATCCTTCTTTGAAATTCCACCCGATCATTGACATTCATCACATTTCTTCACCAGTTAACTTGCGTCCTTGTACAATGTTGGCCAATAAAAACCACAACTTAACACCTTTGATGTTGTCCTCACCCCACCATGATGACCACCGAAGGGAGAGGAATGACAAGCATCCAGAATACTCAATTGCCCCTCCTCCGGAACATATCTCCGGATCACACCATCATTACAAATTTTGAACAAGTACGGCTCATCCCAGTAGTAGTCCAAGCTACCCCGTTTAAGCTTCTTCCTGGTTAGAAGAGAGCTCATACAGAACAATACCGGTTACAAGGAATTTGGCAACATCTGCAAACCAAGGCATGCTATTCACAGACACAAAGAGGAGTTTCTCATCAGGAAATGAATCATTAATCTCAAGGCCATCACGGGGCCTTCCCTTCTCCTCCAAGTGGGACAACTGGTCCGCCACTTGGTTTTCACACCCTTTTCGGTCCACAATCTCCAAATCAAACTCTTGAAGGAATAAGACCCATCTCTTCAATCGAGCTTTGGAATCCTTCTTTGTCATCAAGTAGCAGAGTGAGGCATGGTCGGTATGAACTATCACCTTGGCACCCATGAGATAAGGCCTAAACTTCTCCATTGCGAACACAATAGCCAACAACTCTTTTTCCATCACCGTGTAATTCACTTGAGCATCATTCATTGTTTTGCTTGCATAATACACCAGGTGAAACATCTTATTCACTCTTTAACCCAAAGCCGCTCCTACCGCAACATCGCTTGCATCACACATGAGCTCAAAAGGTAAGCTCCGATTGAGTGCGATAATAATGGGAGTGGCTGTCAATTTGTACAACTTAGAAAACTCTTTGATGAATCTCCAGTAGAACCCCGCATGCCCAAGGAAAGTTCTAACCCCCTTGACTGAGGTAGGAGGTGGAAGGTTTGAGATCACTTCAGTTTTAGCCTTGTCCACCTCTATGCCATGTTTTTAGATCTTATGGTCGAGGAAAATGCCCTTCTCATCCATAAAGTGACATTTTTCCCAGTTAAGCACAAGAATGGTCCCTTCACACCAGGCCAACACCTTGTCAAGATTCTTCAAACATTCATCAAATGAGTCACCCACAACACTGAAGTTTTCCATGAACACCTCCAAAATGCCCTCCACCATATCGGTACATATGGCTACATACACCGCTGGAATGTAGCCGGTGCATTACATAACCCAAATGTCATCATATAAAATGCAAAGGTACCATACAGACACATGAAGGTGGTTTTCTCCTGATCTTTTGAAGCAATCAAAATTTGGTTGTACCCAGAGTACCCATCCAAGAAACAGTAGAAGGCACGCCCAGCAAGTCTATCTAGCATCTGGTCAAGAAAGAAAATGGAAAGTGATCCTTGCGAGTCACTTTATTCAGCTTGTAGTAGTCCATGTACACCCTCCATCCGGTAAGAGTCCTGGTGGCACCATTGCCGGGGATCGAATTCACGGGGAGCTAATACAATGTTTGGAGTTGGATTCCTATCTAATCTAGTAGTGTGGTGGTGCTCTTGATTACACTTCCAATATTTCTTATTTGTTTGTTACTTCTAATTTTATACTAATAATGTGTGAAATTAAGCTAAGTAGATATATTTGTAGGGTTTTCTAAATGGGTAAAGAGGCACTAAGGAAGTGACTTACTCTTTGGTGAGTATCTAACGGGATTTAGAACTTAGGAAAATAATGTTATAGTTGGGATCGTCATATAGCCAATGCACGAAGCTACTCACTCTACACCTCTCGGTAGTAAGAGTGACCTTGCCTTGATTGGCTTTCTCAAGCCCAATTGGGTGTTCAATTTTTGCAAGCAATATTGGCTCAAGTCGGGTATTACTATCTCTAGGTTTAACCCTTTAATTAGGGCTATTAATCTCTTGAATACACCCCAATTCCTTGTTGGCCTGAAATTTCTAGACTTAGTCTCTCTTTCTCAAGAAGTGCCTAAGTCAAAAAGGCACAAATTAGTGTTTGCAACCACTAATTCAACTTAGAAAGCATAAATCAGGAAAATAACAATCATCCAAAAACATCTAAGCCCTAAAATAAAAGACCCATTAAATAACCCTAGCTAATGGGTTTAGCTACTCATAATTGAAGAAGAAATCATAGATTAAGATGAAGAATAATCCATAAATTGTAATTATAAGCTAATATACTAAGATTAATTGCTAAGTAAGCTACAAAATTACTCAAGATAGAAAAATAAGGCGTTTCATGTGCTCAGCTAACGTAAGATGACCTAAAAATCTGAAAAAGTAGTATTTATACACAGCCAAATTTTCCGGACAAAAATGCCCTTGATGGAGGTACTGCTGACAGCGAAAAATGGACCGCTGCAGTGGCAAGGCTACCGCGGACGCATAAAATCAATTGCGAACCGCGGTCTTTAATATTTGGTTCAATTCCAGGTTCTCTCAACTCCTTCTCCGCGGACCGCGGTAAACTGACCAATGTCGCGGTGGATGCCCTGCTGCCGCATAAAATCACCGCGGACCGCGGTAGCTTGAATTCCAAATATGACAACTCTCTGAATCCTTGTCACAGCGAACCGCGATAAAAAGGATTGTGTTCATGGTGGGTCTTCTGCGTCTGTGGTGGATTTTTTGTTGTAGCGCTGCTTTGACTTGGTTTTGAAATTGTGCAAGTTTCACTTATTTTTTGAGATGGTTATGACATCCTTGTCCCTTTTTGACCAAACACTACAAACGAGCACAACAAGTTAGCTTTTGGGGAATACTTGTACATATTTTAGTCCAAAACTCAAGCAAAAAAGGAGCATAAAACAGATTAGAATCCCTAGTTATCAGATACGTAGGCAAACCTCATCGATTGTAGCCCCAATTTTTAAAAATCCAAAAATATTTTCCTTTAATTCCTTCTTTAGAAGCATTCTGTAATGATCTGGTCGGTCATTTCATAAGTTACCGCTCCATTTCCCCCATTTCCGCTTCTTTATATCTTGTTCAGCTGTATTATGAGGTATTGTGTTGGTTGGTTTGAGTTCAGAGTGGCTTTGGAGAAGAATGAGACACTTAGTCTCTTTTGATTAAGCTTAAGTTGGAAAAGTCAACCGGATGTTGACTTATGTATAGAAGGTCTCGGATGTGAATTCTGATGGTTCAGATATCTTCCTTAGGTTATTTGGGACTTAGGAGCATGATGGGAATGTATTTTGGTGGCCAGTGGTAGATTTAGGCTTGAATTGGCGAAATTGGAAATTTGGTGTTTTCCGGTCAGCGGTGGAAATCTTGATATAGAGGTCGGAATGGAATTTCGTAAATTGGAGTAGGTCCTTTGTGTAATTTTGGACATGTGTGTATAATTTCAAGTCATTCAGAGGTGAATTGATAGGTTTCGGCGTCATTTGTGCGGTTTGAAAGTTTATAAGTTCTTAGGCTTGAATCTGAGGTTAATTTGATGTTTTGATGTTGATTTGGGTGTTCTGAAGGTTGGAACAAGTTTGAATGATATTATGAGATGTTTTGGCATGTTTGGTTGATGTCCCGAGGGCCTCGTGTGTGTTTCGGATGCCCAACAGGACATTTTTAGACTTGAAGAGTTAGCAGTTTTGTTGGTATTCTGTTGCAGATGTTTTGTTCTTCGCGATCGCGAAGGGGAGTCCGCAATTGTGTAGGCTTAGTTGGGTAGAGGTGAAATTTTTTCTATGCAATTGTAGAGGTTAGGAAGCGATTACGAATGGCTGTGATGTTGTGTTTCACAAAAGAGTGGCCAGGATCGAGTTCGCATAGAAGAGAGTGAGCTGGTGAGAAGTGGAAGGGATTGTTCTATGCGATCGCGTGGGAAAGCCGCGATCGCGTGAGTTGGCAAAGCAGTGCTTCGCATCGCATGGAGGTTTACACGATCGCATAAGGTTAAATGAAGGCAGTCAATTTTTGTGCTTCGCAATCGGGAGGCAGTTTCTGCGATCACGATGAAGGAAGCACCTAGGCAGAAAGTATATAAGGCCATCTTCGTGATTTTCAGGTTATTTCTCACCATTTTTTGATGGCTTTGAAGCTTTTTGAGAGAAATTGAAGAGGGATTCGAGGGGTAACACTCAGAGGTAAGGTTTTTGAACTCAATACTCGATTTTATGGTGATTTTAACTGATTAAACATGAAATTAGTGGAATTTAAGGGTTAAAATTGGAGAATTAGGGCTTGAACTTAGAAAATTTAAACTGGGGATTTGAGGGGTCGTTTGAGGTCCGATTTTGATGTTCTTGGTATGTATGGACTCGTGGGAGGATAAGGATTGTTGTGATATGATTTTTATTGAATTATGAGATGTGAGCCCGGGGGTCGAATTTCACCAATTTCGGGATTTTTTATGTAATTTGATTATTTTCGCATGGGTTTTGTTCCCTTAGCATATATTGATATTATGATTCTGATTTTTGATAGATTCAGGGTGATTTGGGGCCGAGTCGAGTGGCAAAAGCATAGAAGAGTAAATTTTCATCCGATTCGAAACGATTATATATCTGGACCTGAGGGTATGAAACCTAAGATTTTCGTACTGTTTTGGTAGATGAGGTGGCGCACATGCTGCGTGACGGGCGTGTGGGCATGCACCCATAGGGATTGTGACTTGGTCCGTCCCGTGACAACTGTAGTACTGTCTATTTCGATAAACTCTATGTGATATCTATGTGTTTTGGAAAGGAACCTGTCAATTTGGGCTGAATGCCTTGTTTAGGGCCTTTTGCCGAACTATTTGGACCCTCAGGGGTATTTTACCATTTTTCTCACACTATTTTGATTCAAAAGCATATCCTCAGTTATATTTTTTACCTGTTTACTGTTAATTTAGTTTTATTACTCTGTTTTAAATATTTGAAAGTTATTTAGGCCGAGTTTCCCTGATTTTTCACTGAACTGCCCGAGTGGATGTGAGATTGATGACTGAGAGGGGCCACGGGCCAGTTGGTGAGGATTATATATATATT